ACGGGGTTTTTTTATCATCCCTCACCTGTGGGACCTGTGCACCCAACTCATCCTTCATCGCCAGCATCTCGGATCCCTCCGCCAAGTCTCGAGGCATGCTACGAAGCATCTCCGTCGCCTGGGCATATGGCTTCATCGAGATGCCCGGGACTTTGGAGTGGTCCTGCGCTGCATCCCCCAGCTGTTTCGAAAGCTGGGTCAGCGACTGCAGGATGTCCCTCCCGTTCTTGACAAAGGCCTCGTCAGAGCAAGTTGCCTGAGCCATCTGCACGGCATTTCCATGCACTGTCCTGTCACAAGCGGTCAAAGCAATGCAGAAAAGCCGCTTTCGGGAAGGGCTTCATTTATAAATAAAATGTAAAATAGCCTACAGCTAAAGCCAAATGGTTAACAACTTTGGTTTTCTCCGAGTGCTGTAGCATTCTACGTGAAAATTTCACGCGAGCCCAGCCTGAAGAGAGGGTTGGCTCGGAGGAGCAGGCGCAGCCGCATACTGACTCTGTCAAGCTTTGCCATGATGCTCTTGATCTGCTGTCGGGTCACAAGGTCCGGCTCCTAGGTTCCCCAGTAACCCCTTATAATAATAATAATAGGTAATAATAGGGACACCCTTTTTCCTACTATTCAGCTTTAATAAGGAAACCCCCAAATAAAAAGGGCAAAAGGGTACTACTGGGGTACCTAGGCGCTGAGGCACCACTTGACTTGTAAATCGAGTGGAGATACGACAAGTCCATCACAGCCTGCGTGGAGAAGCCTGTCACGTTGGTCCACACCTCGGGCTCAGGAGACTCCAGCGTGACAGGCAGCAGCGTTTTGAAGCTTGTCCTTCGCCAAAGCAGGTTAGGAAGAACAGATCAATGAAGCCCAATCACCCTAGCCAATCCCATTAAAAAAGGAACTCCAGGACGCTAGCGCAACTGCATAACTACTAGGGCACAGACCGCAAACCCCTTCAAAGAACGCCTGCCCACTCGGGAACCCCTACATGGCGCCTGCTGTGGCCCTGGCACTCTAAATGGCGGCTAGGGGCTAAGAAAAGTTACAATTACGCAAGAGGTTGAAATGCGCAAACCGCAAACCCTTCAAACTGCAAATCCCTATACAAATTTCAAATCAGAAGCGCCATCCGTTCGCTCTACAAAAAAGTGCCCTCAACCCAATAATCTATGAACCCTTAGATTCCTAAGACTCTCTCGACTCCACACATACATACCGTGACATACCGTACCCAGAAAGACTTATTCTGAAGACCGTGCAAGACCCTAAAGCACTACAGGGACTTCAACTTTGCGAACCCCGTCTGAGACATGACATGCTATGATGTGATCCCGTGATCCCTTATCACATCGAGTCCTTGCAAGGTCTGGCTGAAAGAAGGTCGGTGTCAAGACCTTGTCGCAGCCCTCGAAGCTCGTTGCCTTGCGGATGGACTCATCGTAGTAATGGTACAGGCAGTTCAACTGCATCTGCAGCAGCTCTTTCTCCGAAAACATCTTGTCATCCTTGAAGTCATCAAAGCAGATGTGTACTCCGTCCGCCGGCGCACATCGGAGAAAGTCCAAAAAGGCACCCACACGCTCCTGCTGTAAAAGTTGTTAGGGGTTTAGGGTTTAGGGTTTAGGCTTAGGGTGGTTTAGGTTTTGGGTCGTAAAAGTATAAGTTCTCAACATGTCCGCTCCCTCTGACGCTACTCCGTCAGCTGAGCTAAACTAAGGTGGCAGTTAGAATTGTAGCCTTCAAAAAAGGCAATGAAATGACAATTGCAGTCCTCACACAACTTCTGCGCGATGGCCACAAGGAGAGCTTGCGCGTTGGCCTGGGTCATCTTGAGAATCGAGGTCTTCCACCCTGCGGCCGCCTCCGCATCTTGAACCACAGTCTCGCAACTATCCTGCTTGATGTGCATCGCGATCTGAAGCATGTCCAAAACCATGCTGCTCTGTGCCTCGAGCTCAGCGGCGTTGATCTCATGCTCCTTGTTGTTAGCAACCTCCTGCAAGAACTTGGCGACCTTGGAGGCCTTGTTCTTCACATCCGCCTCTCGGCAACCAGGAGTCCCCCTCATGAGGCCCTCTGCCGTGACAGACCCCAGCATCTGCTTCAGCGCCTGAATGTTCTTGGCAGCATCCTCCACCGGCTGCTTTCGCCCAGACTTGGCCGGCGAAGCTTCGGAAGACTCAGGCACGGGAGGCTTTCGCTTCTTGCGCTCCTGCTCCGCTGGAGCTACCTTTGCGGGGGCCTCGGACTCCGAACCCACTGCATCAGCCAGGGGCCCATCAGTAGCCTTGCCGCTAAGACGGCGCCTAGGGCCCGCTTTGGCCTTGCAAGATTGGCTGCCCGCAACGCTTGGGGCCGGAGTGCTGGCCTTGTACTTCTTGAGGGCTTGCCCTAGCACGCATGACGAAGAGTCGGAGTCTGAATCCTCGCCACACTTCGACTCATTGTCGCTCTCCGCCACGGCCGGCCCCACGTCCTGTCAGGACGTAAGCACGGCAGTATTTTATACAGTTATACATGATTTTGATGTTGTTGGGTACTAAGGTGCAACCTTTCGGGGCCGAGGTTAAGGCCTCTAGGGAAGTTGTAGGTGTAAAACGCAGGCCAGTCCTGTGCCGCCATAGGACAGTCCACAGCGTCGGCCGATTTCAACGCTGCAGCTTCTAGCTCCTCCTTTGACTCCACCTCCTTCTTCTGGACTTTGGCATGAGACAGTCGCCTGCCAACTTTAACCTTCTTGATGCCCTCCTCCGTGTCGCCAAAGACCACTCCCTCCTCCTTCTTGTCGTCCAAGGTTATCTGCAGCTTCAAGACCTCCGTGACGTATTTCTTCTGCTGCTTTGCCGTCTTGTATTTCTTGTGAACATTGTGTTCTTCACATATTTTTGCCAATGATTTCCATGTTCCAGTCTGCCAGGGAAGAGGGAAGTTATGAACGGTCCAAAACATTCACATGAATCTTCAGCACGTGAATTGGTCGTGACATTACTGTCTATGCAGCAGCATAGACTATGCTGACCACAAACACAGGACCGAGGAGAGCCAGTGCCTGCGCAATTTCCAGGAATGTCTCATCTTTCTTCTCAAATTCCTTCACATCGCAGACTTCATGCCGCAATCTCCGTCCAGGGTTGAGGATTCGAGCTCGCAAAGCCCTTCGGCGAAGCTCCTTGAACCTGCAGATCTTTGGGAGGTGAATCGGGGGGGGTGGCGGTCCTTGCGGATTTTAATGGATGGAGTTTCGGGCACCGTGAACGTCAAATATCCTTGACTTGGGCCCCGGCTTTTTCCTCAGCGGAGAGTTTGAGCGACGCTTGGCGACAAGCTCCGGCAGAAGCACCTTTTTAAAGGAGCCTCGAGCGTTGTACACGCACTGCTTGCACGTCTTCGCCCCTTCTCTCACAGGCTGAATAAGTTCCGGCTCATCTTCACATTCAGAAGGGAAGTCCTCCCCAGCATACCAAAGCTGAAAAGCCCCTCCCCTTGTCCACAATGCAACAGCCTATCATGAGTCCTCGTCCGGCTGCCCAAACTTTTGGTCGCACAGATTGCACGTGTTCAAGCTCTCTTCTGGCGCAATCTCTGCCATGGCCACCGCAAAGAATGGATTTTGACGTAGGTCAGAGCAGGAACCCAGGGATATGGGATATGCATCACCATGTAATGATGGAATGCATCACCATGTAATGATGGAATACTGCCTGATTGCTCGGACGCAGCATGAAGCTTTGCATTTGGGCCTGTAGACCTCTGGACGTTAGACTGCAAACATTTGCATGGCCGGCTACATGCAATTCCAAACCCTTTTGCACTCAGAAACCTGGAAAGGCGACTGACGAATACCACTGCTGCAAGTTATGATGTGCGTTCACCGCGAACCACGCCATGCCATGCCGCAACAGAATGCTAGTGCCCAGCGCTTTTACACAACCACATCATCCGCTCAAGTTTGTGCGGTCAATTCACTACTTCGCGGAGGCCCGGGAGCCAACCTTTTGTGAGCACCTGCATGCGCAGCTTATGTGATAATGGGCCACTGTCACTTGCAGATGGCAGGCACACCGTGCGCAAAGGAAATGCGCAGCAGCAACTGCTCTGAATTAGGCTAGTTAACACAACACAACGCAGATCAGCGCTCTTTTCGGCAAACCCCTTGCCCTCGGTTTGGGTTCCCAGTCTCAGACGGCTTGCCACATTGGCATTGCCGCCACATCTGCAAAGATGCTTTCCTGGGTCTCACACGTACCTGCTCCTGTAAGCAAAGAGGGATTCGGACCCAGACACATCATAAAGGAGCGTCGTGCCCACAAACTTTCATTAGAGCACAGTACTACGACAGCGGCTCTGACCGAGCGAGCGGCAACACATCATTCAGTTTAACTGTCGCACCACTCTCTGTGACTCCAGCATTTCGATCTTGTGCTTCCTTAGAATGCGTTTTATGTTGTTCGGCGGGGGCATGTTTTTCTTTTTAATATTTGTGCCGAGCTGCATGGTGGTCATACATTGAAGGCATCGCGAAATTCTGTCTTCAGCATCGCGATACTTCTCGGACAGCACTTCGTACGATCTCTGCCTTGCACCGGAATGCCCAATCACATGCCACAAGTTTTGGAAAATTAACATCAATGCAATTTGCGTACATGAATATAAACTTGCGTTCCAGCTTCAAGGTTTGCTTGGTCTGCGCTAGGACGGCCCTCAGCGTGGCACATTAATCTTAAAATGGTGTCTGTCAAGCTTCATGATGCAACCAAAATGCATAGATTGCAGCTGCTCTCTGAGCTCATTGATCTGACTGTCCCTGACATTCAGACACTGAGAGGCTGAGGATGGATTTGATTGCCATACATTACATGTCATGTCATGTCTGATTCTTCTGGTTGAGGCACCTCTCCGCCACTGCTTGCAGGGCATCTTCAAGAGCACGCTGGTTGGCCCGCGACCTTTTCGGACGTCGCCGTTCGTACTCTTGCTGTTTCCTTTTCCTCCCATCCGCCCCTGGGTTCACGAGGTCATCACCGATTGGAACCATTGCAGCAGCCATCCAGGTGAGAGCACAGTACCCTCAAGGGAAACGTACAGATAAGCTCGAACCACACTGCTGCTTGAAGAAGCAAGCGTCGCTCATGCAACGACATTCCTCGTTCAAGAGCCGGAGTGCAAGCAGCTGAGCCTTCGCGAAGAATTGCAGTCAATGCCTCAGACAAGTCAACATATGTTTATATGCAGCGATCGCATTCTGAAACACATATAACGCTATGTCATGAAGCTAGCTTATTTTCAATCTCACATGAGGTCAGCCCGGGAAGCGTTGCCTGGATACGGCGCTGATTCATACTAATCCTAATATAAATATAGATACTAATAATTATTGTTATTATATTATAATTATTAATATGAATATTATTAACATGAATATTCTTTATATGAATATAGTCAATACGAATATTATTGACACGGCGCCGGGACACGGCGCTGATAAAGAATATTAATCTTAATCAGATTGATCTCAATAATTTTAATATGAATACTATTCATATTCATATTAATAATTTTATTATAAGTACTATTAATCTTATCAGTGTTCATGTTATGAATATTAATATTATTGACACGGCGCCGGGACACGGCGCTTATTTATAATTTTAATAAGTCATATTCATATTAATACTATTAATATAAATACTATTAATATTCATATTAATAATTATAATATAATTTCTATTGATATTATCAATATGAATGTTATTAGTATTAATATTATTGACGCGGCGCCGGGACAGGGCGCTTATTAATAATATATTAATCATATTAATATCAATACTACTAATATATTATGATTCATCATATTAATATGTATAATATTAATATAAACAATATTAATATAATATTAATATTCATGTTAATAATTTTCTTATATAAGTACTATTAATATTATCAATATTAATGTGGTTAATATTAGTGTTGTTGACACGACGCCGGGAGACGGCGCTTATTAATAATCATAATATTCATCATATTCATTTTAATAATTTGAATATAAATACTACGAATATTCATACTCATATTAATCATATTAATATGAATATAAGTAATATTAAAATTATTGACACAGTGCCGGGACACGGCG